ATTACTTTTGGGAATTGTTAAGCTTTGTTTGCTCCAATCTTATCCTTTAAACAGACACTCTTCGTTTTAAGATTGGTGTTGTTCAACTGGACACAACATTCTCCAAAGAAGTGAAGTTGAGGACCAACTAAAGGCTGATGTAAAGGTATATGATGGACATGGACATGGTATAACACGCCACAGACAAGGAATTATGGAGGAGAAGCAAGGTAGAGGATGTCCTGAAGGAAACAGACAATAAAAAGGAAGATGAGCTAGATATGTAGTGAGAGCGAGGGAGCACAAATGGAAAAACCCATGTGCTCCATTGTTATCCTCATGATGCCTATAGGACACAAGGAAATCATTATTTGTACAACCTTGTGGAGAACTATGGGGAGTATGTGTGCAAGAATTGTACAGGATGAGTAGGCATCATTAGTGAGAATATCCACATTGATGAGATCACAGATCTATTGGAATATTGGAATATCACTTCCTCCCAACCCCTCTTCTGTCCTCTGCTCCACTTCTCCCCCCCCACATGCCATTGTAACTGACACTGCAAAAATAAATAAAAACAAAAATTAAGACTGATTATAACTGACAAAGCAAGGGTTGTGAATAAGGGATACATTGGCATGTGTTTAACAACTGTCTATGGGGGAAAAATGTACACAGGATGTACATTTAAGTTTGATTTGCATTATTAACATTTTCCCCATCACTTTTTAAAGTCTGCATAATTAACAAAACAATAAACCAAGCCCTGATTAGTAGTATTTGCTGACTTCCAAAGTGTAAAGCCTCCCATTAAAAATGTAATAATCAGCTCTTGTAATCTGACATAAGCTGAGTCTAGCACCTCCCTGGTTGTGATGTTATTGAATAATCTGTAGATTAATTGAGGGAGGGTATAATGATTTTGTCACAGCCCAGTACAGAACACTGAATTCCTATCTTTCTTGGGGAGGGCAGTGTTGTTTCTTGGAAGAGGTAGAGGTTTTTTTTTCTTGTTTTGTTTTATTTAGTTATGTTAGTTTTGTGATCTTTTATAGGCTAACTTCAAGACATTTAAGCATTTTTACTTATTTTAATAGGATTTCTCTTTGTATCATTTCCTCCTGGCTTATCTTAGTACTTTATAGAAATTCTAAAGATTTTGGTGGTATTATTTTTTGTCCTTTGTTTCAATGAAAGCATTGAATACTTTGGTTAATTTTGTTTCTGATTCTTGGGCTTTTCTAAGCAAACTTTCACCTTATCTACAAAGAGCAACGATTTTGCTTGCTCTGCTGATGTTTCTCATTTGCTGATTATTCTTTAGATTTTTTTTCTGGCCTCATTGCTATGACTAGTACTTCCAACGCTATGCCAAATAAATACTAAAATAACAGAATTTCAGAGTTGGAAGGGCTTCCAGTAGTCATTTAATCCAACCCATATATAGACAAGAATCCCTTCTATGGTTTACCCTAACAAGTGGTCATCCTCAACTCTTCCTCTTCCCTCAAATCCTATGTCTAATTAGTTGCTGAAACCTGCTGTTGCTCCATTCGTGATATGTTTTACATGTGTTTAATTCTCTCCCTTCAGGGCACAATGATCTTAGTTCAGGCCATACTCACCTGTCTCCTGGATAGACTTTTAATTGCCATCTCTACTTTTAGGCCCTCTCTTCCCCAACCCATCCTTGATATGGCTGCCAAATCAGTATTCCTATAGCCTGGGTGTGACCATGTACTCTCCTCAAGAAGTTCCAGTGGCTTTCAACTGCCTCTAGTATAAAACACAAATTCTACCATTTAATATAAACGCTTCAAGATCTACTAATTCCAGCCTACTTTTCCAGGTCATTCCATTAACTGCTTGAACATTTAATGATCAGTCATATCATCCCTCTGGACTTAACATCCTCCTATTCACCTACCCTTCGTATTGGGGATTGAATCTATGTTGCTTATTGTCTGGGGTGTTATATGGTCCTGAGAAATACTTTCCCTGCCCAGAGAAAAGAAACACCTTATATACTCATTATCCTTTAAAGATTCTAAAACAGCACTTCACTCCCAGAAGAACACTTGGTGAAGGTCTCAGAGCATACCCTTTCCGCAGACAGAGTGTGATTCCTCCCTATTCCTCTGTTCCCAGCCCCCTCCATAACAACACTCTTTGTGCTTTTGCAGTGCCTTTAGCAAGGTAAGGGATGAATAGACCATCCTAGCTCCTCTCTTGTCCAGGTCAGGCAGATATGTTTCCCCATTTTCTCAGTTCCCTTCCTACCTCATTGTTTTATTTGAAGTACCTTTTTCTATGTATTCCCTTCCTCATAAATGTTAATGCATTGGAAAGTATGATGGGTTTGGAATCAGAGATGTTGTTGTTCAGTCATTTCAGTTCTGTCTGACTCTCTGTGATCCTGTAAGACTGTCTATGGAATTTTCTTGGCAAAGATATCAGGGTGGTTTGCCATTTCCTTCTCTAGTGGCAAATAGAAGTTACACAGCTAGGAGATTTCTGAAGTTGGATTGGAACTCAGGTCTTACTGACTCTAAGGCCAGAGTTCTATCCACAGTACCACCTAGCTGGAGTGCAATCAGAAAACCTTGGCTCAGATCCTGGCTTTGCCACTTACAATAACAACAACAACAACAAATACTACCTAGCACTGATGTAGCGCTTTAAGGTTTGCAAAGTTCTTTACGAATATCATCTCATTTTTATCCTCACAATAAACTTGAAAAATAGGTGCAATTATTAACTCCATTTTATAGATAAGGAAACTGAGACTGATAGAGATTAAGTGACTTGCTGATTCTCTGATATCTAATGCTGGATTTGAATTCAAACTTCCTCATTCCAGGACCAGTACTCTATCAACTGTGCCACATGATTGTGTTACTACCCTGTGTGACCTTGGACAAGTCATTTAACATCTGTAAAGCAGCGCTTCTTAAACTGTATGTGTGTGTGGGGGGGGGTTGTGGCCCACAATTTAAGAAGTGCTGAAGGGGTCATGTGTGAACAAAGTTTAATAAACCCTGCTCTAAACATCAGTTTCCTCATTTGTAAAATAAGGCTGTTAAGCTAGGTGACCTCTAGGGTTCTTTTAGCTCAAAATCTATGGTTCTTGGATTCATTCTGTCTTTTCCTTCTTCTGATCTTCCCTTAGTTAACTTCTTATTTGCTTGTTTGCATCTAAATTCCACATCAACTCTGTAAAACATTGGGTAAGAAAATGGGCTGGTTTTTTGGGTTAAATTGAATTAACTAGAGACTCTATCCAAGTGTTTGCTTACAATAGCAATACATTTATATAAGCTAGCTCTAGGGGCATAGACTTATGTATATTAGAGCAGCTACGTGGGTCAGTGGGTAGAGCAAAGGGTCTGGAGTCAGGAAGACTCATCTTCCTAAGTTCAAATCTGGTATCAGACACTTCCTAGATGTGCCTGGGTAACTCATTTAATCCTGCGTGCCTCAGTTTCCCTCAGCTGTAAAAATGAGCTGGAGAAGGAAATGGCAAACCACTCCAGTGTCCCTGCCAAGAAAAACCCCAAATGGAGCCACAAAGAGCTGGAAACAACTGAAACTACTGAACAACAACACCAAGGACATAGACAACAGGAATTTACAAGATATGAATAATTGTGGCTAAATAAAAATATGGGCAGCTTGGCATTGTGGATAGGATTCCACCGAACTTAGAGTCAAGGATGAATTCAAATCCTACCTCAGGCATTTGCCGTGTGACTGGTCAAGTTATTTAATTTCCATCAGCTTCATTTTCCTTATCTTAAAATGAGAATAATAGCACCTCGCTTAAGATTGTTCAGAGGATCAAAGTAAATGTTTAAAATAATATATGTAATACACAATAGTCTATATAATACTATGTATACTATTATATAGAATATGTATAATAGTACATATATAATGTATGGAGCCAATCATGTGTTTTTATTTTTTAATATAAAAAATGATGATTAGATCTTTATGTGAGATCAAACATATGACACATATGTGTGTATATATTTGTTATAGATATGATTATAGTATATATTATTATGCCATATATTATATATAAACATCACCATTTGTGTATTGGTGTTTTATATTATATATAATTAATATAGATAACATATAATTTATATATATTCTACATTTTATATATAATTATGCATATGCATGCACATATAGTGATTTGCTAAACTTAAAACACTGTGTAATATCAGCTATTATTATATTACCCATAACGCATTTACATTAACACATATTATGTTAGGTGTTATATAGCACATAAATTCTTTTCCTGTGATCAGTGTAATGATTAATCCATGGGTACATTTGAAAACACGACCCATGGCACTTTTGGCTCACACGGAATCATATGACTTATTGGCTGGTTCCTTGTTCTTTTCCCAATCCCTCCATGTGGCATTTCCCCAAGGTCTGCCCTTGGCCCACTTCTCTTCTCTCTTTATACTTTGGCAATCTTTCTCATCCTCACTGCTTCAGCTACCACCTCTTCTAGGCTCCTATACCTGCATTTTTCATTCTGACCTCTCCTCTGAAGTACAACTAGCATTTCCTTCTGCCTATAGAACATCTTTTTTGTGTGTCCTTCCAGCATCTGAAATTCAAAATGTCGAAAATTGAGCTCATTATCTTTCCCCATAAACTTGTTTGTCTTTGCTATTCTCCTTACTTTTGTCTATGATACACTTGCCTCCCAAATTTTAAATCTTGGTTCTTTTCCTTCTCTACCACTTGCCATACCAAATCCTTTTGATTCAACCCCCACAATGGTTTTGTTGGCCATGAGCTGTGTTACCATTCTAGAACAAATTTTTAATACCACCCATACCTCCCACATGAACTTCTTAACATCATCTCATCTCTACTATCCACCCCCTCCAATCCACCCTTCTTAGCCATTGCCAGAATAATCTCTTATGTAAAGATTCCATTATCATTTTTATGTTAAAAAAAACAAAGACATGTCAATCGTTCCTTATTACCTACTGAGTGAAGTTCAAATTCCTTTCCTGGGCTTGTAAACATGTCTTCATTCTGGAAATCCAGTGCGGCACAGTGGGAAGATTGCATCTGATTGGAGTTAAATCACTTGAGTTTGAACCTTGACTCTGTTGTCTGCTACCTCTAACCTTAGGCAAATCATTTAACCACTCTGTCCTCAGTTTCATTCAACTATAAAATGAGGGTGGGAAAGAAGGCAGACTGAAAGCAGTCGTACTCAAAGCAGTGTACCATGATATTCTGGCGATGGTTGTTCTTCTTATTCTCTAAAGGAAGAAACTGAGACCCAGAGAATTGTAGTAACTTACACTGGTCACTCAGGAAATCAGATGCAGAGGTAAGCTGAGGGCCCATGCCACCTCACTTCTGTGATATATCTAAGACTGGATGCAAAATTCTGTTCCCCAGATAACTTTGTAGCCATGTTTTTAACCCTAAAACCTGAGACAGACACAACAACAGCAGGGAAAGATGGCAGCATGCTTTTTCAAAACACAACTTTAGCTAAATTCATGAGGCCAAGGTCTCATGACAGTACTTGGAAGTGATTTGAGAGAGTTTTCATTAATATCCCCTTTGCCTTTCCCACATGTGACTGTTAGTTGAAAGGATGAGATCAGCTTTCTGAGTGGAGCGGGAAGCACGTCTAGTGGCTATTTTCCTAACAATTGCCTTTCATTACTTTCCCTGGTCCTTTAGCCAGCTTTCAGGACTCTAGGGATCTTAGAACTAAAAGTACAAGACCTCAGAACGATACAAAAAGTTAAGCCTAATGAGTAATTTCAGTACAGCATAGTTTGAGAGGACCACGGCTGGAAGTTATTAGATGAGAAAATCAGACTAGATGTGAAAATGAAAATGCTGGTAGCCAGTAAAACATTCAACTAGGTTCTTATCTTATTGAACCTCTTTGTCAATTATATCCTTCTCCAGGGGCATTCTGATCCTTTAGAAAGATAACAAGTAGATCCAGCACTGTGGACTCTATTATTAATATTAATAAATTGACCTACATTTTTGCTCAGGAGTTTTATATAACATAAACATTTAACAAACGCCTGTCCAAGGTTGAATGGAGTGTTTGTGAGGACCTATACCACATTCCTTACCATGATCATCCAACTGTTGATTCTTTGCTTCTGGTTGGACATCTACTATCTAGAATAATCCCAAATGGGCTGGTGGATTCTGAAGGTACAGTCTGAGGGCTGTGACGTGCACAATCAAAACAAGTAACAGTCAAGTGTGCTGACCACAATCTGAGTGACTCTCATGACCTCTGCTAAAGGTATACCTGAGTGAATATGAAGGGATCAGATGGTGTGGTCAAAGGTGCTGCTGGTCCTGACCCTAGTACATAAAGTTACCACTGCCCAGTCCTTTAGTATATTCTGTCACAAGATCCTCAAGAACCTTGTGCTATGGCCCAATTTATGAGATGTTTCAAAGGAACTTACACCCCAGAAGGAAACATACTTATGTATACAAAAAAGTCAAATAGGTAAACAGAATCCCCAGAATTATACTCTTTTGCCACAATAGTCTTTCCTGGCTTTCATGTTTTCTTTCCTCGAAATACATACAGCTCTATTATCATAGTTTAAGGACCTTTTTGAGAGATGCTAGGCAGGGGATGGCACTGTACATAGAGCACCAGGCCTGGAATCAGGAAGACTCATCTTATTGAGTTCAAACCTGGCCTCAGACACTTACTAGCTGTGTGACTCTGGGCAAGTCACTTAACCCTGTTTGTCTCAGTTTCCTCATCTGTAAAATGATCTGGAGAAGGAAACAGGAAACCATTCCAGTAACTTTGCCAAGAAAAGGCCTAAATGGGGTCATGCTCAGTAGGACACAGCTGAAAATGACTGAACAACAATTACAAATTAAGAGATAGTGTGGCATTTAGAAAGCTTGCCTTGAGTCAGGACAACCTGGGTTCAGGTCCTAGCTCAGGCACACAATGGTTATGACCGTAGGCAAGTCACTTTACCTTTTAATGTCCAAAAATATTCTCCATAATTATAAGTTGAAAAACAGGACCTTATATATATTAATGGAGGGAGTTTCCTCAGTGAAAGTGAAATCAAAAAATCTAAAAAAGAAGGCTGTCTATTTAGGGAACACTAGTCCAAAGGATTAGGCTATCCTTACTTTTATATGCCTCATGCAGGCAACTTCAGAGTGCGAGCAAAGCTGGTGCCCTTATTAGCTCAGTCAACTAGCATTTATTAAGCACCTTCTGTATTCCAGGCACTGTGCAAAGTTCTAGGGATATAAAGAAAGGCAGAAAACATTTTCCTGCTTTGAAGCAACCCACAATCTAATGGAGAAGACAATATGCAAACAACCATGTATAATATATATGCAGACAGACATACAGACATACATACAGGATTAATTGGGCATAATCTCAGAGGGAAGGCATTAAGATTAAAAAGGACTGTGAGAGGCTTTCTGCAGAAGGTGGGTCCTTAGCTGAGACCTGAAAGCCAAGAAAGCCAAGAGGTAGAGATGAGGAGGGAGGGAAAATCCAGTCATGGGAGATAGTCAGTGAAAACACTTGGAGCTGGGAGATGGAGTGCTGTATCTGAGAAACAGTAAGGAAGTCAGCATCCTTGGATGATAGAATACATGGAGGGGAATGAGATAGAAGAAGATTAGAAAGGTAGGAAGGGACCACTTTAGCAAGGGCTTTAAATACCAACAGAGGACTTTATACTTGATTCTGGAGGTAATGGGGAGCCAATGAAGTTTATAGAATAAGGGTCCTGACAGCATGAGCTCCATCCTAATTTTATAGCTCAAATGTCTGCCTTTCTGATGGTGGTAATCAAGAACTCATAATTTGAAAATGACAAAGATAAGCAGAACAATGGCCCCAGGCCTGGAGATTATTCAAATGAAAAGACTGGAGGAAAGGGGGAAAAGCCCTCTCAGAAGTCAGTAGGGGTACAGCATGGGATTAAAAAAGAGAAAAAGGGACATTGGCTTCCATTAGGACAAGGCATAGAAGACGGGAAACTTCAAACAAGATGAAATAGAAACTGGACCAGAGCGGGTGTTCCCAAATCTCAGAACACCTCAGCTGACCTTGGGCTTTTGACTGGTTAAAAATGCCAAGTCCACTTCCTGGGGAGGTCAGTGGGTGTCTGCAGCCCAGAATGAGGGTTATTAGGCTATAGCTAGAGGCTTCTTGTCATGAGCCTGCACCCTGCATCACAGAATTATGGCTTCAGGAGCCAACACTGTGTTTGTTCCTTATCCAACTACTTGTCTGTGGGACCAGGAAAGGGAAAAATATGTCCCACAGCTATTGCATTGGGGGAAAAAGATCTCCCAAAGTCACTGCAATTTTATAGGAAAGATTTAATATTCTGATAATCTGAAACTGAAAGATGAACCAGTTGATACAAAAAGTATTCTCTTTGGATTATAACTTTGTTTAACCGAACTGTGGACTTTTTCCCCCTGGAGAATTTACAAATAGGGTCATTTACACTGCTGGGTTAGGGATGATCTTACCCAGAGGGAGGAGGATGGGTTTAGTTGACTTCGGGAGGGAAACAGCAGCCCAAGAATTACAATGAATTAATGTCTTTTAATCACTTTCCAATTAATCATTTCCCTACTCCCCTTTGTACCCCTCACACATTCTAATAGCAGCACTTTTGGCCCTCTGTTTTCAGGAAGCTAACTGGAAGTGAAAATTAAAAGAGAAATTGGAAACTTTGAATTTATTAAGTCAAGGCAAATTGATATTTATTAGTTATGTGCTTAATAAATGACAATGTACCAGGCATCGTGCTAATGGCTGAGTATATAAATAGAAGTAAAATAAAACAAAAACAAAACAATATTCTCTGCCCTCAAAGAGCTCACCTTCTCACATACAAACAACTATGTACACACAGTATGTGTGATGGGAACCAAAGGTAATCTCAGAGGGAAAAGAAGGGAGGGGCTGTGAAAGACCTCTTGTGGAAGGTGGGATTTTGGCTGAGACTTGGAGGAATTTAGGAGGTGGAGATGAGGAGGGAGAGAGTTCAGTCAGGGGGGACAGCCAGAGAAAATGCCCTGAAGCAGGAGATGGAATTTAGTGTGTGCAATGTGTGAGAAATGGTGAGAAAGCTAGTGTCACTGGATCAAAACAAAAGTATATGGAGGGAAGTAAGACTGGGAAGGTAGGAGAAGGCCAAGTTGTCCTGGGATTTGAAAGCTAAATGGGATTTTATATTTGATCCTGGAGGTAATAGGGAGACACTGAAATGTATTGCATAGGGTCAAATCTGCTCTTTAGGATGATTACTTTGATACTGAGCTAGTGAAGGGTGGATTGGAGGGGGAGACATGAGTAGAAAGACCAAGTAGAAGGTGGTTCAGACATGCAGGTATCATAGTCTAAGAACCCCTATATAGCCTAATAGAGGATTATGTCCTCAATCCTCCTCTTAAAAAGAATACCTCATGGCTGCTGAACCAGGGTATCTTTCCCAGACCTGAAGCAAATAGCTTTTTGGAGTTGACAAAACAGTTTGTTTGTTAGACATTCCTACAGTTTCTCCCCACGAGATGGGGATAACAGAAGTTTAGGGGAAACTGAAATCCACATTCCATATTCCAACATAGAGGATGTCATTGTATTAGGCCTGGGTCCTAGAAACAGTAGGAAACCTCCCCAAATAAAAGATTAATGTAAAAATATATACTAAAGTATTACATTTAGTGGGGAAATGGGCTCTTCCTAGTGATATGCTGAAACTGAAAGATAACCCAGATGATATAGATCATTCTACTTTGATTATAGTTAAGTTTAACAAATGGCACCACCAATAAGAGCCTTTCCTTAATCATTTACCCCAATTTTACTTACATACTCAGTACAATTTTTTTTTCTCCACAGCACCCAAAAAGCATTTTTTCCTCTCCCTTTATAAGGTATTTGCTGACATTCTTTTATTTTATAATCTATCTGAGTCACATGTTATGGGAGTTATATGGGAGCTTAAAGAAAATTTATTGTGACTTCATTTTACAGAAAGTACACTGGATTTTGACTCAGAAGACCTAG